ATTGATGTATAATTTTGGTATCGAACTAGCAATATAACTTTGCTGGAAAGAAAATAATTAAAAGATAATATCCTTTCCTTTAAGTAGCTTATGTAAAGAATGGGGACTAAGGACTCTATATTTAGTCTGGGCTTACATATGCACACCTTCTGGGGGAAATGGTTAGGTAATTGCTGCAGTTTTTCCACCTTTTTAGAATCCCAGAGTTTTATATGTGAAATCACAGACTTAAGAACATTAGACCAATAGTGAATATGTCGAAAATAGGTGAGCTGTTGAAATTTCATCTGAACTCTTCTGATAGATCCTTGTAAGTTATGAGTTAACTTTTCTTAAGTCCTGTTCAGTGTCAATAATATCAGCACAGGAATCACTGATATGCTCATAAATTAATAGTAATAGCAAAAGTGACCTTTGTCTAAAGAGAGTTCCAAGACTCCACAAATATTTATTGAGTGCATGCAATGTGCCAGGCCTTGGGCTAATTAAATCCCCCCTATCCTTACATTTTAAATGAGAGAAAAGCTGACTCAAGGGAAAGAGTCATGGCCAAAGGCCATTTAATTAATTTGCTGTCTGGGGAAATTGCACAGGAACTGGGAAGAAAGCCCAGGTATGAGGACTGCTACATTGTTGTTCAGAATACAATGCATTGTTGTTCAGAACTCCAGTAGAATACACATTTCATAACTGCATTAAACTAATATAAAATTACAATTGTAAAACAAATGTTGCAAGTAAAAATGTCAGAGGCACAACACGTGCCTGCATTTCCTAGCCACTGCTGGCCTGAATTGGAGAATTCACCAGTACCGACACTTTCAGAGAAAAGCACTGTTAGTAAACTGGATCCTGGGCTAGGGCACTGCAGGTCAGGGAGCCGTATTTCACGGTTACACTAGGAACCGCCCGAAGAGCCAAGCAGCAGGTTTTCACATGGGAGAAATAGAGGGCAAGTGGTCTGCTCAGCGCATACAGTACTTATGCTGGGAATATCACACATGTGCTGAACACAAAACTCCTGCAAGATTTTACAGATAAGTAGAACAAAATGCAGAGTGCCGGTGGCCAATGTCATACCTTGCCGGTGAGGAACTGGAAAACAAATTCTAGTGTTATCTGACCCTAGGGTCCGCATTTTAAACAGACTATGGACTAAGTGGATTTTCATTATTTTTCTTCTCTTCATTTGTTATTATTAAAAATATATGTATTGAACACTTACCAAGAGCTATGCATTATTTTTGTGGCTGGAGAATCAAACCAAGTAAATCACTGTCTCTGTCTTTGAGAGTCTAGAGGAGTGGGCACCTCCACAAACAAGTACTCCATGCCACAGGTGATCAGATCTGTAAGACAGATACACAATGCCGTGGATGCAAAGAAGTACGGCAGGATCGATTTTGACCTTGATTTGGGGTGAAGTGAGAATATAATATTGAGCTAGACTTTGAAGAATGTATTGTACTCCCTCTGTGGAGAAGAGTAAATCTGTTCTCGTTAATGGAAGCGTTCTGCTTTGTAAAATCACATAAGAGGTCCCAGGTTTCATAGACTGAGTACAAGAGGTTATTGTAAAAGAAGCAGGCCCAGGTTGCCCAGGGGAATTCTCCTAAATCTGCAAAGCCCATATACTCCCAATGCTACTTCAATTATTTCTAAGTATAGAAAAGAAAAAAGAAAAACTGCAAGATACTTTTATGAAATAAGCATTCCATTGCCATCTAAACTTTGTAAGGATAGCACAAAAAATAAACTATAGCTCAATCTGACTTAAAAATATGGAAAAATACCAAATGAAATATTAGCAAACAGAATGCAAGAGCTCATTATAAAGAGAAAACATCATGACCAAGTGATTTTCCCCTAAAATATAAGGATGGTTCAATATTAGGTAATCTACTAACATATTTACCATGTGTGTGAATCTAAGTAGAAAATCACATGATTATATTTACAGAAGCTAAAATGGCCTTTGTCAAAATTTGACAACCATTCTTAATTAAAACACTGAATAAAGTAGAAACTGATGATTTATTCTTTAGTGTTAATACATATCTACAACCACACACACATATATACCCACAAACACACACACTCCTAGTACAGCTATAAAGTCACTAACTTACCTGACAGAGAATCACTAGAGGCATTCATGGTACGGCCAAGAACAAGGAACAGACACCCACTCACTCTATTTAAAAATATATTTTAAAATATATTAGAGGCACTAATTTAAAAATATTTACTAATTAAAAATATATTAGACTCACTAACAATATAATCAGACTAGACAAAACAATTCCATAATAACTGACATAGAAGTGAAACTTTTTATTTACAGGTGATATTGTAGTGTGTTGGAAAATCCAAGAGAATCAATAAAAACACCATCATAAAAATACAGAATAGTAATAGAATATTAAAACAAAAAATCAGAATGTTTTACATACACAAATAATAGCTAATTAGGTGATGTAACAGGAGATAAAACTTTGGTTATGTTACTAGCAAAAAGAATTTAAGAATACATTTAACAGAAAGTATATAATATCTATTTAAGAAAAAAATGAAGTATTTTCAGAAAATACAAAAATATATTTGAATAAATTTGGAAAATTTTCTTGGTTTTAGATAGTATAACATTATAAACTTGTATTTATTCCCATCTTAATAATACATTTAGCAATAAAAATAATATAAAGTTATTTTATGCAGCTAATGAAGTAGATTTTGAAGTTTATATGACAAAACAAACATAAAAATAACAAAGAGAACCCTGAAAAAAGAACAATGGGGAAGGAGTATATTAAAACTTACTATAAAGCTTTCATAATTAAAACAGTATGGTATTGATTAATAAATAGATAGGAGGCCAGAGAGATTAAGGGAAGAGAATAGGAAGCTTACAAATAGAAAAAATGCAAATGGCAATACAGTGACGACATTTTTAGAATGTCAGGCTGTGAGAGAGACCAAGGAAGTACAAAGAAAATAATGAGGATGTGTAAACCAAACACAGACAGTATCTTGTAGTTTCTCAGACTAGTCAAACTGGGGGCAATTTTGGCATCAAGAATTATGGTACTAATGCGTTATAGTATAAAGAAAAATGTAAAAGACCATAGGTTACCCAAAATGAGCTCATAAACAATAAGTATAGAACTTCAAGGGTAAGAAGGAAAATATCTTTATGGCAACCTGTATTAAACAAAGTTTACTCCTTATTCCAGGTGCTAAGGAATTGGGACATTCCTCAAGTTTTCATTAAAATAACCACATTTTAAAAGTTTGTAAATACGTTCACTGCTTAAATAAATTTATTGAAAATTTTTATTACAAAATTATTATTAAAAAGTAAACATGCAAATATAGATATAATAGTATCATGAATTTCATTCATACATCACCTCCCTCCATAATTACCAATCAAGTTCAATCTTGTTTCACTTGTATGTCAACCTATTTTTCCTCCTTTTTATTTTGGAGCTACCAGTCATCATGCCATTATAACTGCAAATATTTCCATAAGTGTCTTTAAAAATAAGTACTAAAACCCCACAATATCATTACCATACTCTAAAATATTAACAATTCTTTAACATCATCAAATATTAGTCAAGATCAAGTTGTCAAATGTCCCATAAGTGTCATCATAATTATTCTACAGTTTCTTTGATTCAGGATCCAAATACATTTTTTAAAGAATAAAAAATTTAGTAGTAGCTAAATCTAGACTGTTACAGATTCTGATTCTTAAGTCCTGGATTTTCCTAAAGTGCAATAATAATTGTTTCATACTGAAGTTTTGTGTCCAGCCATTTGGGCAGCATCTTAAGTGTTTTTTCTTTAGTAATTCAATGCAATTATCTTTTCTTTATTAAAAAAATCTTTGTATTGCTGCTCAATTACAGTCGTCCCCATCCCCCGTCATCACTCTCTCCTGCCCTACCCATGTCCCACCTCCCACATTCAGTCCCGAAAGGGTTCTGAAGGTCCAAGAACCTATAGTCCTGGTTTCCTATGGTCTCTTAGGCCAAAGAGTTTGGCCATTTTTAGACAGTTAAAATAAATAAGTTCACAGTAAATCAATACATTTGGTCCATTTGGCCAGTTGGTTGTTGTGTGCTCTGTACACACCTCTTTTGTTGTCTAGCTTATAGTGGAGGGCTCCTTGTGTACTCGGGGCAAGTAAAAGACTTGGTAAATTTGGTGACATGGTCATTCAGAGAAGAAGAATACTTGTGAAGTGTTAAAGTATTGATTGAACAAATGATTTTTTAAAGATCCCCAAAGGAAAAAAATAAACTGAAAAATTCCCATGTGACATACTGACATTTTTATTATATTAGCAAGAATATATTCTAAATGATTAATAGTAAACTACAGTACAGTTTCAATTGTTTATTGCCTTTTTAAATGTTTAGTCAGGTAAACTCCCTATTTTTATATTTGTCTATGTTTCTATTGGTTTGTCTTGTTTTTATTGTAAATATCAATCCTTTGCCTGTGATACATGTTACAAATATTTTCTCCCATCCTATTTCTTGGTATTTAATTCTTTAATGCATTTGAAGTTTATGTTGGTGTTTGGTGCAAGATTAGAATCTAAAGGAATTTTTCTATCTAGAAGTTAAACAATTTTCACCATACTTTTTTTTTAATAACTCACCTCATTCCCATTGATCTGTCATGCTTTTATTTTTAAGTCTCATAAGTGGTAGGCCCATTTCAGAATCATCTATTGTGTTTCAGCCAATTTTTCTGTGAATTCTTACACACAGGTTTGGCTACTGTTGTGTTATTATGTATTTTTTGGTTCATATGTTTCAAAATTTCTTAGCCACCATCATATTTTTACTATTTTGACAACTGAGATTTAGAATCGTTTTTATCAAGTTAAAACATAAATATTGGCATTTAGGGAGTTTGTTGTGGTAGATGGAGGGTAAGTGACACGGATCTACACATGGCATTAACCCCTGGTGCAAACGTGAAATATGCCAGCCCCGCCGGCCAGCAGCGCATTCCCTGGGGTCCACCCCGCCCCGTGCGTCTCCGAGCAGAGCCAGGCCAGCCAGCACTATCGAGTAGTTATCCATTGTCTCTGGTTTGTCCGACTCGTCAACAACCACTGTGGGAGAAGCTCAGGCTCTTGGATCTCACCCCTGTCTTCTCTGCAGGTTGTTTTGCAGAAGCTCCTTCTATGCGTCATCCTCTTCTACACTGTGTACTACGTGGTTCTCAGCACAGGCTGTGTGGTGCTCCAGTAAGTAGCACATTGCCTTCTCACAGAATCAGGAAGCCGAAGTCGACCATGAAAGTTTATACTTAATGCTTGACATGTCTTTATGAACTAGAGGATGCAGACTTCTAGAAAGTGTATATCTTCTCACTTTTGTAAAAGTGAAAATGAGCAAATGTACCATCATTGAAAATGATCAAAGTAGCACTCATGAAACGCAGTGAACAGAACCAGGCAGGGCTCATCCTTTTACCTCTGGACAATCGTCATGGAAAAAAGTGGAGCTCTCACTCCCTCCACCTGTGTTGGATCAGAAGACGTTTGAACTAGAAGAGAATTTAGAGTTAATATACATTCAAAGGAAATATTTTCTGTATGTACTGGAGATAGCTCTGGATCGTGAGTCAGGAGATCTGCCTTCTGGCCCAGGTTCTTAAAATCTTCCTGCTCATCTTGACCAAGTGATTGAGCTTCTCTGATTTCACTTGTCTTCATTTGTCTAATGAAGGTCATAATCCAAAAGGGGGTTATTGTGAGGACAAAGTAATCCATGTGATTTTAATACCATTTTTACTTACATGTGTAACCATTTTCCCCCTAGGAAATTTCTTGCTATGGATGAATTTTGTCTTTACATATTTAGGTTGTCAATACATTGATTTACTTGAAATACATTATGTATTTTTACAACTGATTCCCTAGAAATCGATTGTTTGTACAATTTAATTTTACTTTGTGAGCAAGGAGTTAGGCTTTACCATTTCAATATACAATTTAGTGCCAAAACTAATTATACCAAGTTTTGCGATGGGAAGAACGTTATGAAGCATGCTTGCGGGCAAACCCACTGAGGAGGCTTCCAGAGCTGACACAGTCGCCTTAGCTGTCATCTGGGACTGGAGATGGTGAGGCTACGCCTGGAGCAGAGCAGGGCTGGGAATCTTCAGGGCTCTAGGAGCATGGGGTTGCCAGGGTTTGTAGTTAATGTGAGTCAGAGGCCAGGGATTTGAAGTAAAAGCCCCAAAAGGCAGCTAACCGATTGATGAGCTGCACACCACTGCAAACTTAGGTACAGCAGAAGATGTGTACTTAACAGACTCAGATTTTAGAAAAGGAAAGTATCTCAGAGATTAATCATTTCAATTTACAGATAAGAAACTAAGCCCAGGGGGTTCAGTGACATGCCCAAGCTCAAGGTGAACAACTCCATCAGGATTAGAGCCTGGTTCTTGTTTCCAAACCCTGTGCTCTCACCGCAGTATCAGGTTCTCCTCCCACATTTGATGGAAGGGACTTCCAAGATTACAGCTGAGATATCAGGTACAAAGAAATATACTTGGTGGACACTGTGGACTTCATTGGACAAAGAAGTTAATGTAGGTAAAGAGGTTATTTGGCTGCCATCCAAATCAGCCAGTTTTTAAATGTGCCACAAAGAGGGTAAAGCTAATGACGCTGTTGTATGTGAAGAGCACTGTGCAAACCTTGACATGCAAAGCTATGAGCTGCCTCCTCCAGTGTAAACTGTTTTCATTTGCAACATCTTCAGGGTGTATGAACTCAGTGTCCTGGCACCGTTTGACTTCAAAACATGCCCCTCATGGCTCAACACAAGTTATAAAGGTAATCGGTTTTCATTTTGAATCTTTATCAGTTAGTGAACTAAATACCTCTAAAAATCAAAACAATTTTCTGCTTTATAAAATGTTTTTAAATATCAGGCCTTTCAGTCAGCCATGTGTATCTTAGACTGGACTTCACAATTTGATGTAGAAAAGTGCTATAAAATTTTTTTAAATGCTTATTCCTAAAAGAACGGCATGGAATAAGTGGAATATGTAGATAGTACTATTATTTGAAATTTTATTTGGAGGCATTATGGGTAAAATTTTGTGCATGAAGTATTTTTCTATAAAGAGGGAAGAATGACTTGATGTGCAGGTGTAGAAAAATGATTGTGGGGTTTGAAATGGAAAATTAAGATTACAGAAGAATTTGTATAGTATAGTTATTCATTTTTGTAGAACAGAGTAAAATACATGTGTCAGTACTAAGAAATTATGCAAAAAACTGTTATTTTCCAGCTGGGATGACAGAGGTCTTTCATTTTCTGCTTCACACATTTCTGCTTTGTTTGGTTGTTCTCCGCCAAATAGTATAAAGCTCGTTGGCAAAGGTAAAATGATAAGAAAAAATGTACTAAGAAACAAAAAGTCTTTTTAAAGTTTATTAGTTTTTGAAGAAATAATTATTAATAGCTACTATATTCATAAACCTTATGTATATTAATAACAACACCTATTTGTATTAAATATGTGCCACCCATACTTGTCTCAGGGGCATTCATGGTGAGTTTGCTCCATCGTTAGAAAAATTAGATTTGAATGTTGTTTTCCATTGTAAAATAATACACATAAATTAATGAAAGTCTGTAAAAAGTATACAGTTTCAGAAGATGATTTGATTTTAGGGTGTACAATGCAATATACAGATCATTTATCATAGAAATGTATACTTGAAACCTATATAACTCCATTATCCAATGTCACCCCAATAAATTCAATCAACACACACACACACACACAAAGGTAAAAATTACTGCAAAAGTAATGAGAGTTAAATACATTCTTTATTATTGTACAAAATACATGTTTTCAGCAGAAAATAAATAAACAAATAAAGTATATACAATTAGAAAAGAGAAAAAGAAGAAAATCAGTTCCAAGCTTACTTTCTAAATATTTCTTTTAACATTCTGTTAAATTTCTTTCTACTTTTAAGAAATAAACTGTGGACTCTTTAAACATTACATTTTTAAAGAAATTACTAGACATCTCTTTTTGGAACATATATGCAAAAATACAAAAATGGCCTGCAACCAAAGAAATCAGATTTCAGATGTGATTTGTATAGGAAACTTGGTCTGCTGGAACTACTGAATTCAAACAAAATGCTTTAAAACAACCCCCTCAAAGGGTAACATTGTTCAACCAACAGTGGCACTTGGGACTTGCATACTTGGTGTCTTGCTCATCCAATAGGCAATCGCTGCCTTGCTGGTTAATAAATTTTGTCTGCATAATAGAACATAATGTGGAGGGTTTTTTTGCTTCTAAAAAATATGGAGTTTGCCTGCCTAGACTTATCAACTCCTGAACTATATAAACTTACCAATCATTTGCCATATTTAAAGAGAAAAAGAGATAATCTTTATGGAAAGTGATATTATTACAAAGGGAACTTGGGGTATATCATATCTATTTGTCACTTTATAGTTCGATGAATCTTTCAAACCACCACAGTCTTAAAGTTCCCTATTAAAAATAAAGGCAAACCCTTCTCATGTCGAAGGCTGTTAGAAAATTGTGGTCCTGACCTGTATGTGGTCCTGGCTCTCCGTGCTTGTTCAGGGAAACCAGTCTGAGACAACTGGTGGGTTTAGAAGTGTCTCCATCCATGCAAGTCCTTTAGGAGGCTTCGTTCATCTATAGCTGTCGGTTACTCGGTTACGTTTCCCAGGTGACTATCTGAGGGCACTGCTTTATTAAAAGATACAAAAGAACTTTATTAAAAGATACAAAAGAACTTATGATTGGTGCCAAAAACACTTTATAGTTCACTACATTTTTTTTTATTTTTGAAAACTCAGAATTGAAGTTTTCATTAGTTTTTAAATACATCTTTAAAAGAGGCTTGCAATCCAAATATAGGTCAACATGCATTGGTTACACTGTAACTTTTCTTTGTTGCATTCTAACTTCTAAAATGCTAAGTATAAAGAATGTGAAACAGAAATTATATATTGTTATTTTTCTATAAGTCTAATATTATTAAAAGATGGAATATATTAAAAGTTCTTTTCCAAATCTGAGGATTGTTAGGAGAAGGAACATTAAGAAAATTCCTATCAAATTCATTTTGCTGAAAGACTTGTAATGGTCCTATTACTAATTGTATTTCAGAATTATTAGTTACTTATATCCCAAATAGTTATATTCTTCTTTTTATTTTCAGTTCTTTTAATCTCAACAGAAGTCACCTACTTTGTTTGTGGATTGCTTTTCGTTCTTATTGTGGAAGAATGGGTGTGGGATTATGCTATTTCAGTAACTATTCTCCATGTTGCCATCACTTCAACAGGTAAGCAGAACAAAGTAAACAAAACTTCGTTGTGTGCATGTTGTATTCTGATGACTAAATAACAAAAACTGACGGTGAAAGATCTCCACCTCCCTCCCCTTATTCATCCTTCCCACCAAATGCTTCTATCACTTCCTCAGCAATGTATTGCTTAGCTACATCTTCCAATTCAAAACTGTACTGAAATGTAGGTGCTTCCTATTCCATTTCCACATTCAGCTTATTAACTTGCAGAGAGTTTGCCTCTGTTAAGAATACTCTCCTACAAAATCCTCCCTGGGGCAGAAATTGACCAAAGACTGGGAACTGGAACCTGAAACCTGTACTCAAAGGCTTGCAAACTCTTCTAGTTATTTTAGAAAAGTTACTGTGTTCTTAGACTGAAGGGTTTTTATTTCTACCTGTGATCTTTGGAGTCAGAAGAAAATGGATTCAAGTTCTCGTCCTACTTTTTTATTAGGTGGTTAGTCTTAGGCAAATTACAGTATTGCTTACATTATTAGTTGCCTCCTTTACTAAGTGAGGGGTAATTAGTGAAGTTTCAGTGAGAATGAGAATTATGTGACACAGTGTCTAGCATATCATAATTTCTGAGTAAATAATAACTTAAAATTTATACTTCCATTGTAACTTTTTCTCCCTTGTCTAACCATTATTTTTTTTAAAGCATACTAATCAAAGTATGGGTGGTAATCAACCATAAGTTGTAATTCAAAGTTATTATTATTAACAACTTAAATCACTCATATTTTTAGTACCCTGGTCTATTCAAGGTTTGATCAGTCTTCAACTTAAGAACACACAATTTTCAAATGAATTGCTACATTCCAGCATCGCTGCTATTGGAAAATACCAGCATCTCCACACCCTAGCATCAATTTCCTGAGACATAAAACCTTGCAGTAACTTGGAGGACCATTGAACTTCCACCATCTTAGATCTCTAATTTATTTGGGGGCTTACTAATTCATGGGAGATAGCCACAGGATATTCACAAAAGGGGCATAAGGTGGTTCAGTCTTCAAGGCTGAGATAAGCAGTCGATTCTGGATCCAGAGAAGTCACAAGTTGTCTAACACATGGAACATAGAAAAGACTTCACAAATATCTCTCAATAGCATGGAGTTCACAGTGAAGTGGCTCAGAACTTTAGAGAGAGCCAGGCATTGAGGGTGCAGGATGGTCTTAGGACCACCATCAATGTGTATACCTTCAAATCAACACAGTGAGCTGACCTGAGACTTGATAATTATAACGTCATTTCTAGGAGAGAAGTTTCAGCTATCTGACCTGACAAACGACCTCTTTAGATGATGACTTCAGGGCAAATTTAGGGGTACCTGATTTCATGGATGGAAATAAAATTTCTCTGTTTTATGTGGATATGTTTTGCCCAAACAGAAGTATTTATGAGTAACAAAATAATATATATTTTGAAAATGAACACTTTTTTTCTATTGCAGTTATGTTGGAATTCCCTTTGACATCACATTGCTGGGCAGCTTTAGGTATTTATATATATATTACCTATATAGATTTTATATATACATATATAATATTTGTGTGATATAAATACATATTTATATATAAACTGGGGCATACAAATTTTTTAGACGGGTCAGGTAATTGAACCAGAAGACTGATCATAGGCTTTATTATTCTAAAATTACAGGGAATAAAACACTGGATATATTTTTGTGACATATTCTTTTGTGTCTCTTTTTGTACAAATTACATTACTGTCATTTTAATAGTCCAAGAAGAGAAACTACTTTCATATTTTTTACTGCCCACAAATTGAACAACTGAATTCATCAATCATGTACCTAGCAAAAATATTACCCAAAGGAACGTGGACTTTTCTAAAGCTTTTTCTTCATGTTAAGCCAGGTATTGACCACGAAATATTTTTTAAGTTTTCTCTTTTCAGTATATTTTGGAATATTTTTTATTTAATTAGTGTCCTTCTTAGTGATGAAAAATGGAAATGCAGCACTTTGCCACATTCTTTTCCCTAAAGCGGAGTGTTTATAGTATGAGCATTATCGGTACTTACATTACTTACCAATCTCTTTACTAGAATTTAGTTCTCCACTTACCTTGTGTAACCATAAGTCTTAGATGTACACTTTTCTCCAATATTATTTAGTGCATACAAGAAATATGTGTAGAAAGTTTTATCTTTTTTATCTAATAATATTTTATCTTGTATAAATTGTTCAAAGTGTAAATTTTTCATAAATTGAAAAAAGATACTGAAAGACATGCTATAAATGTAAGTGGAGATGATCTCTTCTCTATGAAAAACAGGAACCTCTTTAGATTTTATTGACAACACCACAAAATTTACTGAGCCCTAGAGAGCTAAGTCACATAACAAACATCACCTTGATGTCGAGGAAAGTCAACTTTAGCTAATGGAACAGCCCATAGAATTTGGTAAAACACTTTAGTGACTATTTTAGTCTCTGTAACCATGGCTGGATTACTCAGAGGACAGTCATCAAATGATGTCGGAGCTCATCTTCTTTTGCTTTTCCTTGAGTAAAAAATTTAGATAAAAGAGAATAGTAGCTCAACCTCTTGAAAATCCTGTCTCTTGGTCTGGCACTGGATGCATGTCCGTGTGTGAGGAACTTACTTGCGTGGGCCTGTTAGGCCTCGGATTCACTCAGAGCTCTTCCCTCAGGAGCTTTTTCTCTCTTTGAAGTTGTACTCTTATTGCCATACAGGGAACAACAGGTCTATGAAAACCCTGTAAGGTGGGATTAATATTTTAAAACAAACTGGAATTATTGGGCCAATGAAACCAGAGCTAAAGGCATTTTCATATAACTGAATATCTCAGTGAAATTCTGTGTGTTTAGTGTTCCTAAAAATCTGGCACAAGTCAGAGATAATTGCTTACACTGAGAATCCGTGCTGCAGAATATAGTATATCAAAAGCATCACTTTCTTTAAAATTAAGGTTTTGTTAAACATCATTAAAATCACTGTTAGCCCCCTTCCCAGGGTTTAGTAATTTACACCATATACCAAAATAAATTCAAGATGGATAAAGACTTAAATATAAGCCGTGACACCATTAAAGTCCTAGAGGAGAACATCGGCAAGAAAATCTCAGATATTTCACGCAGCAACTTTTTACTGATATGTTCCCTAGAGCAAGGAATGTAAAGGAAAGAATAAACAAATGGGATCTCATCAAAATAAAAAGCTTCTGTGTGGCTAAAGAAAACAGTATTAAATTAGCAAGACAACCAACTGTATGGGAAAACATATTTGCCAATGAGACCTCAGACAAAGGTTTAATCTCCAAAATATACAAAGAACTTACATGACTCTACTCTAAGAAGACACCCAACCCAATTAAAAAATGGGAAAAGGACTTGAACAGACACTTCTCCAAGGAGGACATACAGAACATCCAGAGACACATGAAGAGATGCTCAATATCGTTAGCTATCAGAGAGATGCAAATTAAAACCACAATGAGATACTACTTTATACCGGTCAGGATGGCTATCATAAACAAAGCAACAAACAACAAATTTTGGAGAGGTTGTGGGGAAAAGGGGTCCTTAGTTCACTGTTGGTGGGAGTGCAGACTGGTACAACCATTATGGAAAACAGTATGGAATTTTCTCAGAAAAATAAAAATCGACCTGCCTTTTGACCCAGCAATTCCACTGCTAGGATTATATCCTAAGAATCCTAAAACATCAATATCAAAGAACCTATGCACCACAATGTTCATAGCAGCACAATTTACAATAGCCAAGAGTTGGAAGCAACCTAGGTGCCCATCAGTAAATGAATGGATCAAAAAATTGTGGTACATATACATAATGGAATTCTATGCAGCAGAGAGAAAGAAGGAGCTACTACCCTTTGCAACAACATGGATGGAACTGGAAAGCATTATGCTGAGTGAAATAGGCCAGGTGTTGAAAGACAAATACCATATGATCTCACCTTTAACAGGAAGCTAAACAACAAAACAAACAAGCAAGCAGAAAAAAAAAACAACAAAGACACTGAAATAGAGAACAAGGGGACAGCGACCAGAGGGGAGAGGGGAGGGAAGTTAAGGGGAAAAAGGGGGAGGGATTTGGAGGAATAAATAGGAAGGACACAGGGACGAGAACTATGGGGGGTGGAAATGGGAGGGAGGTGGGGAGCAAGGGGTGGGGGAGGCTGGGATGGGAGAAATAGACAAAAAAACTGTACTTGAAAAATAACTAAATAAAATTAAAAAAAAAGAATAGGAAAAAGACAGATAGTAACTTCTTATAGATGAGAAGACAGATAAGTGGGTAAAACCAGATTATGGTTGTCAAAAGTCATTGAATTAGGAATATTTGCATTCTTCATTATAGAGTTTTTCAAACAAGCCCCAGTTATGAAGCACCTTGTTTATGGGGGGAAAAGTTCTAACCAATTTTACTGAAACAAATTTCACTGTGTTAAAGTTGATTTGGCTCAACATGCAGAGAAATCAAAGGGTCAAGAAGTTTGATTTATTTACTGAAACAGAAATATTTGTTAGTGAATTGGTTGAGTTTCTGAAGCCTCTAACTTCTTAGAATGATTCTGTTATTTAGAATTCCATATTTAATAGTAATCTATGACAACTAGAAACATCTATAAAGACTGTATAGTTTTACATAATTGCTTGCTCTGCAGACAAGAAAACTAAGTTTAATAATATGAAAGACATGGCAAATGTGAAGTAGAAAAGATTATCTAAAAATTGGGATTTTAGTTAGAAGCATTTATATCAGACAATAACTGTAAACTTTCACAGTAAACTTTTACTATAAAGATGTTAATAATAATTGAGTTGGCTGCCTGATTACAGACTTTCCTACATATTTAGTGACAAAGTATCAAAAATATCCAGAAATAGGAAACCCTCATGTGCCCTTACTATTGGTATTTTATCTGGTATGAATGTAGCTCAGCTAGAATGGAAGTGTTTGCTGAGATGTTAATAAAAAGCTTAAGAACAGGACGACTAGATTTGTTGGCACATGAAATAATAGTGGCTACAGACAAAAGCTGGTGACCTTGTGTTGCTATTTACTCCATGCCCTGATCAGACTAGCAACTAGATAAGTGGAGTTTTTCTAAGATGCCTTAAAACTATTATGGTTTGATTCAAAGACCCACTTTTTTTTTTTTAGCTATAATGATAAGTTGCTTTTGTTTTGTCTTGTTTAATTTTATACAAAGGTGGCTTCTGTTAAAGTGTTTATTTCTTTCATGTTGTAAATATTTTTGGTTCTTTTAAGCTGTGATAGCGATGGTAACTGATGGCTTTCATTTTATTCAACTCACACAAAACAAGCCAACATCTGATCAAAGTATTACAGAAAGTCTTCCTTGAACTAATGAAAGGTGTTGGCGATTTACTCCTGTGGACTGCAGAATTAGGACTGCGGTCACTACAGTTGTCATCACTGTTCGGTGGTAAAACCACTACTGATATTTGCCTCTTTACATGAAACATGTTGCCTTAGCATGTCTGCCATTCATTTCCAGGAGCTGTCCACTGGGAATGTTGTCTGTTTATGTGTGAATATGAAAGTGCTTGTTTTGTTTGTTACTGCTGTTTTTTTGTTTGTTTGTTTTGTTTTTTAGTTTTTTGTTCTTCTCAGTAGTCTTGTGTTTGCACTGGGTAACTTTTGTCTCCTAAGCCAATCAAATGTTAAAGACTATGGGGGCCTTTCCTTTTTTTAATTAACATGTCATTCATCGGTTAAAACTCGATCAGTGTTTCAAGAATGACTACAGTGGGCATTGGAAACAGACTTATCACTATTGATTTGGGGTTTCCTAGAGATAAATATAGTTCACAGTTAATTGTTGAGCTCTAATACAACTGATGATTTAAAATTGAACAATAGCTTATTGTTTTGTAACGATGTCAGTTGTTAAACCTTGACATTTCAATTAAAACATGAATTGTAGTTATAACAATGCAAATTCAGCAGTTGCATTTGCTGTAGTTAAATTATTTTAACAATTAAATTTATTTAATAAAAATCTGAAAACTATACTTAAAATATTTCCAAGTGAATAACATGTTTTCCTTTTATAATTAGAGAGAAAATGCCTTATAAAATAGTTTTAAATATCAACAATGCAAAGGAAAGACAGGTCTGAAGAGCTAAAAGAAGAATTGAGAATCGTGAATGCCGTGGCACGTGCTTTGACTTGATTGCCTTTGAGTTTCTGAGGTTTAAGAGCTCCCTACTGTTAACTTGACAGAACTGTGCACCTACTCTTCCCTGACGGAAGTTTTGAATTTCAACAATTTACCATCACAAAATATATACCTACCCTCTCTTAGCTCAATCTATAAAGTACTCTGTTGCAAATGCTGTGTCAGTTTTAGGAACATTATCTTAGTCACCACAATTGTTCTTATTCATCATCTCACCAATGAATTATTCATTATTCGTAGTTAACCAAAACTTTCCTTTCATTACTTGCAGGATCCGGCTTAATTTCAATGATATGTGGAGGGCAGGCTTTAGCGTACTGTTTGTTCAGAGACAACTTTATCTATCCAGAGCTGGATGATTTTTAACAGAAAGGCTGAATTAATTTGCTTCAGATTTTCTATATTATCATGTACATTGTGTCAGAATTAAATTGTATTTTTTGTTCGTACCTATATTCAAGGTTGAATTTATTCAAGAGACTTTCTAACTATGAAAAGAAAAAAGATAAGTTAATGGAGAGCAGAAGGACCCTGGTCAAGAATTCACGGGCAAAATGTTGCAAATTCGTAAATGCAGTGTTCCTCCTAGTGTGTTCCGTAAAATGTTACTTCTGAAGGATGTTCGTGATGCCATGCAGAGAAAAGAAAAGTTTCCTTTTGAAGTATATTTGTGGAATCCTGGGTTTAAGTAAAACAGACTTATTTATTTCAGGACTTCTTCAAATCCTTAACGTACTACTGTAAACAAAGCAGTGGTATGCCTTATGCATGGTTTCTCAAACGTATTTGACCAGGAACACACCGTGGGGAATGGTAATGCGTCTGTGTAAAGTATAACACAGAAGCAGGCAGATTCAAAACTACAGCAAATCCCTGTAACCAGAATCTGATTCTATTATTATCCCTAGTATTTTTCTGTGTTAAGAGTATTTCTTATGAAATTATTGCTTTTAAAAGTAGTATCTATTTATTTCCTTAGATTGTGATCTTCTAACAGTGCTTTTTGAAATTTTTGTACATTTGAGTCACCGGAGGTTCTTGTTACAATGCTGATTTTGGTTTAGAAGGACTGGGTAGAGGCTGAAAGTCTGTACTTCTAGCAATTCCTGGGAAATGCCTGTGTTGCCGGTTCATGTTGCTACTTTAGGTGGCCAGGTCTAAGGGCTTGGGACCATGTATGTTTTCAGGGTGTACAGCTCTATGTTGCCAATCCTTTTTCTTATACCATTGTGTTCAATAAATGCTTGTTGAATCACGTTACAAATTAGGAGAGTTAAATTTGTGTGTGTCTTAAATATTTACCACTTTTTATATAGTTTAAATATCTTCTGATACAAAAGAAGTGCATACCATGTTTAAAACTATATATAAGTAACATACACCCACCAAACACACACACACACACACACACACTCACACACACACACACTCACACACACAGGCTCATTCCTACACTCCCACACACAAACATGCTGGGAAATAACTAGAAACCAAACAAAACCATCTCTAGATTTTTTTCCCTAGATGACTCCTTTTACACTAAAATCTATTTCTTTCACAAAGATATGCATTTTACCATTAAGGTATATCATGCTAATTGTATGTACTTCAGGGGACATCCCCCAAACTACCTCGTGTTGACCAGTGACTGATGAGGTAATTTAAGTTCCTCATGGACATGTAAGTCTGAAAATAATGAAGCTGTCTCTGCTGCTTCTTTCTCACACTTACTTACTAATACACACTGTCTTATGTCCATTATTCTTATTCTTCCTGTTAAATTTCTAGAAAATGTTCAATCACAGATGTATTGAAAAATATAACTCATCTAAAAATGGACCCGCTTTTTGACCCAGCAATTCCACTGCTGGGATTATATCCTAAGAACCCTAAAACACCAATCCAAAAGAACCTATGCACCCCAATGTTCATAGCAGCACAATTTACAATAGCCAAGTGCTGGAAGCAACCTAGGTGCCCATCAGTAAATGAATGGATCAAAAAATTATGGTACATATACACAAAGGAATTCTATGCAGCAGAAAGAAAGAAGGAGCTCCTACCCTTTGCAACAGCATGGATGGAACTGGAAAGCATTATGCTGAGTGAAATAAGCAGAGACAAATACCATATGCTCTCACCTTTAACAGGAAGCTAAACAACAAAATAAACACGCAAGCAAAATATAACCAAAGACACTGAAATAGAGAACAGGGGGACAGTGACCAGAGGGGAGAGGGGAAGGAATTTCAGGGGAAAAGGGGGAAGGATTTACAGGAACAAGTGTAAAGGACACAGGGACAACAACTAAGGGAGGTGGAAATGGGAGGGAAGTGGGGAGCACTGGGAGGGTGGGCTGGGATGGGAGCAAAAGACAGAAAACTGTACTTGAACAATAATTAAATAAAAAATGTATAACTAATCTAAATCAGTCCAAGGAATGTAAATTTTAATTACTAATAAAGATTATTTTGGTCTTGAAAAGAAGGCAACATAAGATAGCTCTGAAAGGGTCAGCATTACGCTTGTTCATTCTCCAGTGAATACCCATCGGCAGCATTCAGAAAAAAAGTGTCTCGTTAGAAATACAACGAAACTGAAGCCTGCTCTATGGAAAACACAAACATTGAGCAAACCATGGATACATTAATGATGAAGTCTACCCCTATAGAACCTCACACGGAAGGAATTTACAGAAACACTGAAACTGCCTGAATACATCTGATAATTAAAAAAAGATTTGGTTGATTAAGTACTTTTTAATATAATGAGAATTAAGTTACACTAGTAAATTAGAATACAGTCTCTCTAGACTCAGAAGACCTTAATGTCTTGTCATATTGTAGTGTAGCTTAATTAGCATGTTTATTTTTAGGATTAGGAATCCATCTGCTCAGGTAATTACTATTGTGTTAATCCTCTTTATTTTTTTTCTCCTGATCATAAGAATAATCTGTGGTTTTCTTCTTTTATTCATTAAAATGATTATTATTATCTACTTGATGATACTGCTTGATAAAAATGAAAAATGCAATTAGGTTGCATATTTTAGCTTAAATATAAAATGTATCACACATATCAACTAAATATTCACTTTGGTTTTTATTGCCTAAAACTATATATAAATTTCTCAAAGAGCCAAGCCCATTTAATTTATTCTTCTAGTGTCTCACATGGAAGTATAAGTTGGTAGAATCCTGTCTGGTATTTTGATACATATTTTTCATATTTTTTTTTAAAAGGCAATGCTTCTACATCATGCATAACTTTTTCATAACTATGCTTTGTAAATTAATTCACATATCCCTTTAATGTTTATTTAAACTAATTATTTTCCCAGTGAATGACCAGTATCTCTACTTTTGCTGACAGTGGTCCCAATATATATATTGGGGCATATCTATATGCGGACCACTATTATATCTGCAATCTAAACTTCAGACTCTTGTCTCAAATTTTATGGGTTCTGTTCAACCAATTTATCTTTGTAGTTGAATTGATCAGGTCAAAAGTTGTTTGGTACTACTCTAAAGGTACAGAGATTATCATATAGAAGTAACAAGATATAAATATATACTATGAGAAAGAAAATTTTTTGACAAACATCCCAAGGGAAAACAGTCACTTTCTGAAGTTGTTCCATAAACTTTAGAAACCTGAATTTCTGGCTAAATAAATCTATACCAACAGCATCCATAGATATAGCTGTAGTAAAAAAAAAATGTCAGAAAATGGAGGAAATACAATTTGCTTCATATGGATAAAGGTAATTTTTCAAAATCAAAATGCAATTCTTCAAATGAATATTTCTACTACAGAAAAAAAGCCTCATAAAAGATGTAAGAATTTGGAAATATTTCACATTATATTAAAATGTAAAAATAAAGTTATAAGTTTTCCAAGTGTTATGCATTATTTATGTTAGCTATTTCTTTAAGATTTTTCCATATTCTATCTAAATGTTCCTGGTAGTTCAGTAACAAGAAGGCCAAATCACCTTTTAAAAACAAAAGGAAAAAGTGTCTATTCAGGTCCTTTGCCCATTGTTTAATTGGATAGTTTGTGGGAGGTTTTGGTGTAGAGTTTTGTAAGTTTTTAATAAATTTTGGATATTAACCCCTTATCAGATGTGTTGGTGAATAAGTTCTCCCATTCTGTGGATTTTACCCTTTGTAGCAGTGTGGATGGACCTGGAGAACATTATGTTAAATGAAATAAGCCAGTCAGAGAGACAGATAAATACCATATGATCTCACTCATATGTGGAATCTAATGAACAAACTGAACTAACAAGCAAAATAGAGATCTTCTCATAGGTGGAGAGCAGGTTGTCAGCTCTGGTGGGGGGTGGGCTGGGGGTGGAAGGATCAAGTAAAAAGGCAAAGACTCATGTTCATGAACATGGACAAAAGTGTGGTGATTGCAAGGTGAAGGGGAGTATAATGGGGATAAATGTTAGTGGACGAAATACAATAAAAAATTTAAAAAAATACAGAAGGAATTATCATCTATCTTTTTTCTTGGTAAAGAATGTTTACCCTCCGACCTAGGCCCAGTACCCCAAATGGGAAAGCCATTCGTGATGATTATAATAATAATTGATTCATCTAGTTTAAGGAGTAATAGAGATCTCCAAAAGATCTTTCTTTAATTGTAAAAGATAAAATATTATTACATTAGGGAAAAATGGCAGAAACCACCTTAGACAAATGAACCAGGTTAACATTGCTACTAATGGGACTAACCAACAACACGTACCTTCTTGAACACATATGAATTGAGATCCCAGCATCGCTTCTGTGGCACTACTGCCAAAACTGAATAATCTGAAGCTAATCTTAAGAGTATATCAGACAAGCCCAACATTAGGGGCATTTTACAAAATAATTGGGCTACACTTTTCAAAAATGCCAATATTGTAAGATTTAAAGAAACACTCAGAAATGTTTCCAGATTAAAGAAAATTTAAGCCCTGGCTGGTGTGGCTCAGTAGTTGAGCACTGGCCTGCGAATCAAAGGGTCACTGTTTTGACTCCCAGTCAGGGTACATGCCTGGGTTCTAGGCCACACAGATACCCCGTAGGAGGTGAGTGAGAGGCAGCCACACACTGATGTTTCTCTCACTCTCTGTCTCCCTTCCATCTGCTCTCTAAAATATAAAATAAATAAAATCTTTTTAAAAATAAAAAAATTTAAAAGACACAATTTTGGCTTTTCTTTTGCTTTAACAGAAACATTAGGACAATTGACAGAATCTCAATACTGTGTATTAATAATTGCATTGTTTCAATGTTAATTTTTTGATTTTGATTATTGTACTGTGGTTTGTTTTTTAAAAAATCCTCAGTTTTAGAAAATATCATCTAAAGTATTTAGGGGAAAGAGAGCATTGTACCTGCAACTTATTCTTAAGTGGTTCAGAGAAAAACTTGTTACGTATGGCATGTGTGTGCACAAGCACATG